ACTTCATTTTTTGATCATATGCCGGGATCATGCTCATATTTAACTTGCAAAGTAGGATTTCAGAATTCCATTTCCCGTTTACGCGTAATCGCTATGGGAGATGTTTTGATATATCAGTAACGCACTTGACTTTCAACCTCGAGATCCCTGGTTCGAGTCCGGGTGTCTCCAACAATTTTTTTCTCCACTTTTTTTTCCTTTTGAACTTTCACTGTACCATCTCCTTTGATTATTTAAACACGTAAAATCGAAAAATAATGTCATAAACAACCCTTTTTACTTTATTATTACCCTATTATCACTTAATCCATTACTTTTTGCGTGTAATCCCTATGGGAGATGACTTTTTCTCAAATCTGGATTCTACATTCCTGTCTTTTGCGAGCAATATCGCCGTTAGTTCTTCTTGGATTTTGTTGATTTTTGAGTATGTTGTAGCTTAGACTATATGCTATCTAAATCAATCCTTATTTTTTCAATAAGATGTCAGGATCGCGCTCATGATCATGATCATTATCATCATGATCATCATTATCATAATGATGATAATCATTTATCAATTACATTTTCATTTCTTTGAATAAGATAAAATCGTCAAAAGGTGTTCTTCATGATGTAAATTAGAGTCAAATGTGTAACTAGTTACTGCACAGGGTCAAAGGTCATATATTGTTTCAATCCATCTTCCCTTGATCCATGATGATCAAGGAGACACAATTTAATCTTGACATATGGATAGATCATAATGGGAGAAGCATATAAATGGGAGAAGCATTTTTTAAATTAATATATCGTGTAATGCATTATTCTTTATGTAAACCATTATCATACGTATCACCTAATTCGTCTAAGTGACGAATTAAAGTCTAGTTTTTATTTATTATTCTTCCTCAAATTTGTTCGCAGGATATCTCAAGACTGAATGAAGCCATTGTTATGAATTTTTCAATGATGATAGATCTTAGTCTAACTTAGAACTGCGTGACTTTTCAAAGACTCAAAATAATCGTGACGTCATCCAGGCGCCATTTTGTGAAAATCAACTAATGATCATATCTTCATAACGGATATTAATTTTTCATCTATAATTATCAGGATTAAGATCAATATCTGTCCGGTCAATTTCAGGTCAATAAATGCGCGCAAAACTGCGCGTACGCGTACGTGCGCGCGTAAAATTTTAAATTGCTCAAAATCGTTTAATTCTTTTTTTGCATACGTTTCAGGCCATTATAAGCATTTCATAAAAAATCGCGCAAAACACGCATTTTTGCACGTTTTCGTTTGTCACGGCCGAACGAAAAATAATTCCTAGTATATTTGTTTTGACAGGATATTCCTCATATTTTTCTGAACAATTTGATACCATGTTCATCTCTTTATCACTATTAATAACGGAATGAGCGTCCGTTCAAGAAAAATAACCGTGCGCGCGAGCTCATGTATTACATAGCATATATGGGCAAAAACATGCCTATAAAAAGTGCATCGGGGTGAATAAGGACTGCCATTTTTTCATATTTAGATAGAGTATGAGTTAGAGATATGATTTCATATCTCATTTGGCCATTCAATACATTTTGACGTCATCATAATGGCCTTGGAAGTCAAAATACAAAATTGCATATTATGACGTCATTATATTTATGGAAAATTTAGTGTATTTCTCATAATATTGACTGATTTTCTTCCAAATTTCGGTTTCTTGTAGTTGAGGCAATTGCCTTCAAGATAAATACACACTACTTTTTATTTCATTGACGTCATCATAGTACAAAATTTAATTAAAGGCCACATTTCAGAATTTTCTTAATTTGCGTGTTATGCCTAAGGAAGGTGAATTTCGTTCACATCATGAATCTTCATGACATTGATCTTTGAGCACTATCTAGGTTATGAGTACTCTATGTTCTTCCAAATCAATTATCTACATCTACATCATCTAATAAATTATCTACAATATTGACGTACATCTTTTATCATTTCGATGACATCATCTTAGTGAAAATTTCAATTAAAGGCGACATGTCAGAATTGTCTTAGTTAGCGTGTTAGGCGACTTTTTCTGAAATCCTGATTCTACAAATCTCTATCGAATACCTGAAGGGGGCGCTATACCACTCTTAATCATGGTCTTTATCGTATTTATGATCATTATCATTAGATCATCATCGGCACACTTTCATGATAACAAAATAGCACGTATCACCTAATTCGTCAAAGTGACGAATTAAAGTCTAGTGGCATTTGTGACCTTGATTAAGATTCAGGTTTTGGAGAATCAGGCCTTCGTCTGCTTGATTTCGAATGTGTGTCGTTTGTGTGTTACTCTTGTTTTGGCGGTGTTGTTGTTTGTTTATTTTTAAAACAATTTTAATTTGTTGTCTTTGTTGTCGGTATATTTTTGCTTCTTGGAAAGGCTGGGTTTTTAATTGAATTATTTGACATGTTTTTGACATACTTGCATACTTGGTTGTAGGCCTACATGAAGAAAATATGCAACTTTGGTTGTCAACAATCCCGTAAAAACAACTCAATACTATAGTCATAATGTAACAATGATGCTTCAATCGATCCTATCCCACCATTAAAATTGACAGAATCCAAACTTCCCTTTTTTCTCAAGACTTCAACGGATTAAATTAACAATTACCAATCAAAGAAATACGCATAGTACAGGTAACTCTAACAATACTGTACAATATTTTCTTCGTTCTTAATGCTTTTCCTAAATAATTTCAATGTGGCGCCATCTAAATGCTGTTATCACCGTCATCATCATCTTGAGAATGGCGTCCTCTCTGGTATCTCACTGCATACGTTAAAGGGGAAGTCCACCCTGAAATTGAGTTAGTTTTAATAGGAGTAGAAAAATGAGAGAAACAAGTCAGTGAACGTTTGAGCAAGTTCCGATTGAAAATAAGGAAGTTAGGATTTTTTAAGTTGTGATCAATCAAACACAAATTGGCAACTCTATGACGTCTCGTGCGAGCTCAACTTCCATTTGCTCAGTACTAAAAAAATCTAAAATTTTCATTTTCCCTCAAGAAATTTTTTAACCATACATGCACCCTAAATATAATAATTGCAAATATGTTTCTATACTCCCCCTGCAAGGAACAAATATATATTCCGTCATCAATAACGAAGAAAACATGATTTTATGGAATATTATGCACAAAGCAAATGAAGGAGAGCTCGTATAATAAGTCACAGAGTTGCCAATTTGTATTTGATTGATCACAACTTCAATAATTCATAACTTTCTTATTTTCATTCAGAATTTGCTCAAACTTTCATTCACCTAATTTTCTTATTATTCTGCCTCTATCGAAACAAACTTATTTTGGGGGTGGACTTTCCCTTTAACAAAAATGAAATAAATCATACCTCCCTGTATTTCGATGTTTCTTCCCTGCCACCATGCACCACCATCACCATTACAGCATTGCAGTTTGCCATTTCTCTACCGTGGTGTCAATGTATTTTTTGTAAGGAGGTGCTATAGTGAGTTTACATGTGCGGTAGATTATAATTCGCCGATACAAGAATTCGTGGAAATACTATAAATTGGTGTACAAGTCTGCACGCAACAAGAAACATCCCTTAGTCTCTCGAAAAGTCTTTGGCTGGGTCAAATGTAAGACAATGATTTTTCCGGAGGCGATTTGTATAAAGTGCAAAGCATTACGTAAGACCTGTAAGTCATAGAACTGAGTAAACACGCGATCGGCATTAAATCTGCCCTGAGAGGCCAATATAATGCGACTTTATTAGCTAAACACTGTTTCAAATAATCAGGCTTTCGTTGTCAACTGATTCTTTATAAGGTGTTTATGCCTTTATTAGTTTTAATAATAATAATATTAATAATAATAATTATTATTATTATAAAACTAATAATATAATGGAAAGTTATATGTCTTGTTTACCCAGGTTAACCTCATAGGTTTTAGTACACTCCTTCTTGAAGGCCAGGTAATCGGGGCCGGTGATCCCGGGGGGACGGGGGAACACGTCCCCTCCCCCCCCCCCCCCCCCTCAATTTTGAAAAAGTGCACACAAACAATGTATAGCGAATAAAGACTTAAGACTGCAACACACTTTTCGTTTTCCGTTTTCGATTTTCTCGCATCAACTAATTACTTTTAAAATATATTTTTTTAAATATGAGGATGTAGCAATTTTTGGAACCGAACCCTTTCAATGGGCAATTATCGAGAAACGTAAGGATCCGTCGAAAATTCGAGCTGTACCAATAAACCATTATTGGCGAAAATGCATAACAAAATCATATGAATACATATATATATATATATATAATTATATATATATGAAGCGCAAATGAAAATGAGGAATAATAGTTACTAGCTAAAATCCAAGTTCTCCCTAACTACCATACCTATTAGAACATTTTGGAAAGGTTGAAAAAACGTCTCTGCCTAGAACCGAACAGTTGCCACTGGCTTAGAACGCCAATGCATTAACCATTGTAATACGGAGAAAGGACAGTGGCTTCGACGACACCATATTTGAATGTTCAATAGATTGACAATTTCAAACCACAACTAATCAAATCTTTGGTCGGTGGCAGTAAATATTCGACATATTTTTCTTCTTTTTCTACTCCTTTTTCTGACTGAAGAAAATAATAAGCACCAAAAAAAAGTAGACCAATGGTGTGAACAGCGTCCTGGTCTAACTTCTGACTTCCATAGCCAGCAGATTATAGCTAGCAAATGTTCCTTTCATTCTGACGATGATATTGATATTAACAGCGCACTATAACGTGTTTTGGGGGATAAAAACCCACTTAACAACAAATCCATTACCTCAGTCAGGGGTAAAGTCATACCTTTATATTATTTTGAGAACAACAATAATAGACAGGGGAAGGGAAGTTATATTTAGGAGACAAATAAATAATAATAATAATAGTAATACAATATTTATATAACGTAAAATAAACATAAGTTTATCTTCGCGCTGTACAAGCATATATGAAGAGCTTAATTCCAAAAGGCGCTAAATCCATTTTTTACCAAAATGGAGTTATTAGTATGAGTACATACCAGTTGCACATGCGCATTTAAATCACCATTCCTTTTCTCAAAATAATTTTCAGAAATATGAAATAAATTGACACCAAAAATGTGTTTAGTTCCAAAAGGCGCTAAATCCAAAAGTGTTTAATTCCAAAAGGCGCTATATCCACCTTGTGTGTTTTGATCAATCAGAGCGCAGTATTGTTCCAGTGACCCGGATTGACAACAGCTTTTAGCTTGCTGCTTGCATCAAGATCGATCCTATTTCTGCAGTATTTACAGTGTTTTGATAGTCTTTAGCTCACTTAGCAGCATGGATGAGCGAGGGGTGCTAGTTGAGAGAACCAACAATCCAAGAAAAAGAAAGCGTAATGAAAAATAATGGGCCAAAAACCAGAACAAGGAAGATCATAACACCGCTCCTGGTAAGTTTAGTCCCACTTACTTATTTTTGTGTTAGTGTGTAATTAAGTGCAGATGCATTTGCATTATATTGCATTGAATGAATTGTAATACTAATAGGTAATAGTCTAACTAAGACTATTGCAATTCTGTTTGCATGTAGTATGAGCTCAAGGCTTAACCAAAACGAATTACTAGATACAATTTTGTAATTAAACTGAGGCCGTGAGGGTAAATTACGTGTTTACTGCCGCGCCACGGCTTCGGCTTCAGTCACTGGTCACTGGCTTTGGCCTTTGGGCACTATCCGCCCTGGACCTGGTGCAGTACTAGTTTATGGATATTTCACAAGCCTTTGTTACATCATGCCATAGCATAAGTGTAATGATAATTAGCCATCTATTAAGAAAATATCTGCTGTAAGTCTGTAACAAACATTTTGTATTTGAGTGCAGTCATAATCGGTGTTTTGTTAAATTTGAGGAATTTGTTTTCGTGGAATAACTGATGTTTACCATGATGACTTTTGTTTTATCAATAGGGAAGCAACCAGCCATTGGATGCCAGCACATGCCTCACAGCTTTTGTAAGGCATCTTTGCTGACAGAAGGAGACATCACAGATACTTTCCAGGACTGCTACAGAGACTCGAACAACCGCGGCAAGATTCATTCATCATGTGCCACTTACAACTCAATCCAGTCATGCGCCATCGAGGAAATGGTCCACAACCAAGGAGAGAGCGGAACCATGCCCCAACATTTCAAGTAAGTTTTAATTGAGTCATTAAAAAAATATATCATTTGCTTGCAAATCAAATTGTTGAATACAGATCATACACAATTGCCAGAATTGATACCAATTATCTCATTGCAATAATTTTCTGTTAATTTTAATTGACTTGTTTAGTCGCTGGGGTTTTTCTTGCTACTGGGGGAGGGGGGGGGCTTACATGTTTTGTCATGTGTAATATGCTATCTATGTTACACATGTCAAACTAGGTCGTAATGTTGTTTTTATTTTATACCGGGTAGCGTCGGTTGAACCATAAACAACTGGATCAAAGTGAATTCACGAATTCCCCTCGCGCAATCAACATACACTGCATGTCACACTGTGCAAAAAATGTGCACTCGCGCAATGCAATTCTGTATGTAGATAACATGCACGAGCAGTATAGGCAAGGACAGTTGGTGGGAGGGGGGGGGGCTATGCTTAGTATTACAAACTTGTTTATTTAGATTAAATGAAACCAACAAAAATAAACTTTTCATGTACGGTTTTTGTGATTTATAATACAGGTAGCTGGAAATGTCCATTAACAATGTTTCACTTTTAATTTACAGATAACGACACAGCAAGGGGAAAATGTGGAGGTGTGCTCCGGAAGATTCAGATCCATCCTTGTACTTGGTAGGAAACGTCTGGGCAACCTAATGAAGTACGCCTGCCATTCAAAATCACAGAGGCCAAACGCATCTACATGAGACCATATATGTATGCATAATCAGCACTCAAGTATGTCTTTTATCTGCTGTTTATGAGGAGTGAGTTACATTAGTGAACTATGAATAATTTCCATTAAAATAAACAGGCAGTAAAGACTTGTATTGTGTGAAATTTGAAAATCTTAAAAATTTGCTTTACTCATTATCTCATGTCATAACGGTGAGTTAATTAAGACATACAAGAATTGGCAAGTACTTAAAAATAATTTAACGTACAGTCATTAATGTACAGTTTCTTTAACAATATCATATGAATGTCAACAAGAAGATACCTTACAATGGAAATTATTCATAGTTCACTAATGTAACTCACTCCTCATAAACAGCAGATAAAAGACATACTTGAGTGCTGATTATGCATACATATTATTTGAATAATTGTTTGTTAACATCCTAATGGAAGTAGGAGCAATAAAACTCTACCCATACAATATCAGTAGGCCTACAATCTACTGTAAAGTAGTGAGATTAGCCACAATCAATTAGTTGTTATCATACAGTAAAGGTAGCAAAGCGCCAAATATTAATTATCTGTGTGCATGCATTCTGGTTTAGTAAATTTGCATTAATAATTACCAGCGCTACTTACAACAAAATGCATACATGGGTAATAAAACGGGATTTGATTCCAACAGCACTGCTCAATGAATGCACATTTTAGAAGCCTTCTCTGTTCTTGAATTAAATAGTTTAAACTGATCCATTAACTGTGTAAAAGGCATGAAATCAAATGTCAATCTTCATAGGCAGCAATGATGCCCTCGTCCTCATCACTCTCTACGTCACTTGCATCAGTAGGCGCGCACACCTCTTTGTAAAAGGCACCTACTTCCTGAATGAAGTTGCGTGGCTCATACCCTACTAGCGGGTCCACTTGTAGCTCCACCCCCATCGCTCGTAGAAGATTTGCTACATCCCGCTGCTTCGCTGGCTTTACACAGCTTAACAATGGGAGCTGATTGACCAGAAGAGTACTCCATCTCTTTCCTCTCTTCAATATGGTGTACTCATCTCCAGGTGCGCTATAATACTTGGCGACAGTGACTGGGGCTGGAGCTGGTCTCATGTAGATGCGTTTGGCCTCTGTGATTTTGAATGGCAGGCGTACTTCATTAGGTTGCCCAGACGTTTCCTACCAAGTACAAGGATGGATCTGAATCTTCCGGAGCACACCTCCACATTTTCCCTTACTGTGTCGTTATCTGTAAATTAAAAGTGAAACATTGTTAATGGACATTTCCAGCTACCTGTATTATAAATCACAAAAACCGTACATGAAAAGTTTATTTTTGTTGGTTTCATTTAATCTAAATAAACAAGTTTGTAATACTAAGCATAGCCCCCCCCCCCCTCCCACCAACTGTCCTTGCCTATACTGCTCGTGCATGTTATCTACATACAGAATTGCATTGCGCGAGTGCACATTTTTTTGCACAGTGTGACATGCAGTGTATGTTGATTGCGCGAGGGGAATTCGTGAATTCACTTTGACCCAGTTGTTTATGGTTCAACCGACGCTACCCGGTATAAAATAAAAACAACATTACGACCTAGTTTGACATGTGTAACATAGATAGCATATTACACATGACAAAACATGTAAGCCCCCCCCCCTTCCCCAGTAGCAAGAAAAACCCCAGCGACTAAACAAGTCAATTAAAATTAACAGAAAATTATTGCAATGAGATAATTGGTATCAATTCTGGCAATTGTGTATGATCTGTATTCAACAATTTGATTTGCAAGCAAATGATATTTTTTTTTAATGACTCAATTAAAACTTACTTGAAATGTTGGGGCATAGTTCCGCTCTCTCCTTGGTTGTGGACCATTTCCTCGATGGCGCATGACTGGATTGAGTTGTAAGTGGCACATGATGAATGAATCTTGCCGCGGTTGTTCGAGTCTCTGTAGCAGTCCTGGAAAGTATCTGTGATGTCTCCTTCTGTCAGCAAAGATGCCTTACAAAAGCTGTGAGGCATGTGCTGGCATCCAATGGCTGGTTGCTTCCCTATTGATAAAACGAAAGTCATCATGGTAAACATCAGGTATTCCACGATAACAAATTCCTCAAATTTATCAAAACACCGATTATGACTGCACTCAAATACAAAATGTTTGTTACAGACTTACAGCAGATATTTTCTTAATAGATGGCTAATTATCATTACACTTATGCTATGGCATGATGTAACTAAGGCTTGTGAAATATCCATAAACTACTGCACCAGGTCCAGGGCAGATAGTGACCAAATGCAGTGACCATGTGACTAAAGCCGGCGAAGGCGAAGCCGTGGCGCGGCAGTAAACACGTAATTTACCCTCACGGCCTCAGTTTAATTACAAAATTGTATCTAGTAATTCGTTTTGGTTAAGCCTTGAGCTCATACTACATGCAAACAGAATTGCAATAGTCTTAGTTAGACTATTACCTATTAGTATTACAATTCACTCAATGCAATATAATGCAAATGCATCTGCACTTAATTACACACTAACACAAAAATGAATAAGTGGGACTAAACTTACGAGGAGCGGTGTTATGATCTTCCTTGTTCTGGTTTTTGGCCCATTATTTTTCATTACGCTTCCTTTTTCTTGGATTGTTGGTTCTCTCAACTAGCACCCCTCCCTCATCCATGCTGCTAAGTGAGCTAAAGACTATCAAAACACTGTAAATACTGCAGAAATAGGATCGATCTCGATGCAAGCAGCAAGCTAAAAGCTGTTGTCAATCCGGGTCACTGGAACAATACTGCGCTCTGATTGATCAAAACACACAAGGTGGATATAGCGCCTTTTGGAATTAAACACTTTTGGATTTAGCGCCTTTTGGAACCAAACAAATTTTTTGTGTCAATTTTTTTTCATATTTCTGAAAATTATTTTGAGAAAAGGAATGGTGATTTAAATGCGCATGTGCAACTCGTATGTACTCATACTAATAACTCCATTTTGGTAAAAAATGGATTTAGCGCCTTTTGGAATTAAGCTCTTCATATATAATCACATAAAAGGAATCAACACAGAGAAATATACAAATCTTATACTACTAAAATGACTAACTCAACATAGTAAATAACATAATAAAGAGATAGCTAACATGATCGAAATAAAGAACGTAAGTAAGGATAGTTTAAACTATTTAATTAAGGCCAAAGAGGTGCGTTTTTAGTGAAGATTTGAATGTTGCAGAAGTTGGTGCCTGTCGTATGAAATTGGGGAGATTGTCCCAAAGGTTTGGTCCAGCAACTGCAAATGATCTGCCCCCATAGAATATAGTATTGGTTTTTGGTACACAAAGTAATGCTTGATTATTTGAACGGAGGGTTCGGGGTGGGTGGTATTGTTTGAGTAAATCAGTAAGGTATGAAGGAGAAGAACTATGTTGTGCTTTAAATATAATTAATAAGAGTTTGAATATGATGCGCTTATCTACAGGAAGCCAGTGTAGTTTCTAGTTAGTTCTAGTGGAGTACTAGTTATAATTTGTTGGTGTGGAGTGCGAGTGACCAGCCTCGCTGCAATGTTATGTATCAGCTGGATCCGGTGAATATCAATTGCGGGAAGTCCAAACAACAAGCTGTTGCAGGAGTCTAATCTGCTTGTCATAAATAAATAATAAACGAATAGAATACTTCTATTAAAAACAGACTACTTCTATTTTGTAATGATAAACTATTCCGAAGTCTGCAATTCAGTCAAGAAACTCGTCACTGTAGTAAAATCTCTGTTGTTACTATACAAAATGAAAATATCCCACCAGTTGAATTGCCCCGAATCCAAAATGAAAAAAAAAAGGATAGGTCAAAATACATCTTTCAATCATACCCGTAATAACCATACAGTTCGTCCCAACTGCCAGTTTTAGCTTGACCCGTTATGTTACAAATTTTGAGAATGTATACAGTCAGGTACTCAAGTTCAAGTAGGATGCCCCCGAAAACCGACTAACTTACTTAACAAGACGTGGGTTCAAATTTACTGATACCAGTGGAGGACCTTTTGTTTACAAGAAAACGAATACCAGGACAAACTAGGTAGAGGGATTTTCGTTTGATGTGTTTTTGCGACGCAAGAGAGGAGTTGAATTATGTCTAGTAATCACTGAAACTGTTTTTGAATCAATTCTTATAATTACATGTATGGGTTAAACAAGTCATTACAAACACCTACAAATAACACATGTTAAATGTGATACTAATGTTCAATATTGTGTTTATTGCATCTGAGTCAAAGGTCAAGCGTAAAACTGTTTCTCATCTATGTATGTATGTTGTATGTGATTTTGGTTCTACCACATCCATTCTCCGTATCCTCCACTGGTTTACAACCAACAAGCGGATTCCCCTAACTCTACCCCTTCTTATCTGTCTGAACTCATCCATACCAACACACCCTCCCGTGCTCTCAGATCCCAGAAAACATTTTGTTGAGGTTCTTCGTGTTAAGACCCAGGACTACGACCGTAGCTCCTTCACCTTCAATGCTCCCACCCTCTGGAACTCTCTCCCGCTCGCCATTAGAACTGCACCTACCATCCATACGTTCAAAACTGCACTTGAGACCTACCTTTTGAAGAATTATTTATTTTCATGTTTTGTTATATATTATTTTAATTATAATGGTATATACTTATAACTTGTAATATATGATTACATTTTGCACCATAATTGTTGTATCATTATTTAAGAATTTATTATTATGTTATTCTCTTTACTTTTTGTTTTACTAGTTAAGATTTTGTAAGAATTTGTGTTTGAGGATACTTCAACAGTAGATACTTAATTAAGATTTAAAGGGATAGTTGAGTTCTTGTTTTAGACCGCAAATGCCTTCAAAGTGCAGGGTTTTGCTCCTATTCGTATTTATGTTTTGGTAATTATACACGTTACTGGTTTTATACATTATATTAACAAATTTAACAATAATGATTGTTGTATAGTATCATTGTTCTTTAATTATGAGAGTTCAAATGATTGTTTGGATGTCTACAAATACGACAGCACGAGAAGTATGACTTAAAGCTATTTTACCTGATTTTAAGTACTGAAACTGCACGTTTTCTTCACTGTCAACCACTCAGCGACTATTCATCAGATGCCACAAACCAAGTGAGATGACACACACAAAAAAGAAATCGAGTGGTTGACAGTGAAGAAAACGTGCAGTTTCAGGAACTACATTTAGACCACGTTACCATGTTACATATCGTCCTAACAGCTCGAGCCGAGTTTTGTATACACGCTAACGCAGTTTCGTACAGTCCAGACATCTTAGGCCATATACTCCCGCTCTCTGCCAGCACTTCGTTGGGCTCGCGCATTGGCGCGCACCCGTTCAATATGCTCATTACCCAATTTTTAGAGGTGGAGTACTGCAATTATGCTTTTAATATCCACTTACTGATAAAATGTTTTGCTGTTATCAATTTTCACGGTCAGGTTTGGGTTAGGCCCTAGATTTTGGTTAGGAGTTGGTGTTGGTGTTATAATTTAAGATGGCGCAAACGATGCCTTAATATAACATCCGGGGCTGTATGAAACTGCTTTTGATTAGCGCCGAAGACGTAGTCTGCAATATTCTAGAAATATTATTGTTGGAGCTTATTTCAACTAGGTAAATCAATAATCATATACATTTGAATCGAGTTGTATTATCAATATTACCTTGATGCACCGTACACACGCCGTGTACAAAACAACGGTGCACTGATAAACGTGAAATCGCCGAACTAATTACTTAAAGGCACACTGTCCTACTTGTAGCTACTTGCTCCCTCTATATAGAAAATTTCCCAAATCGGTGCCTGTTGGTCCCTCACGATCCTTCTTATGTTAAATGAGAGCTGAGTTAATGAGATAGCCACCTGTCACAGTGACCTCGATGGCTCGCTGTGTGGTCTAATCCTTTCTAGCTGCAGTAGTAATGCCTACCTTTAAAGGAGAACTAACCCCACGTAATAAATTTGGTTGTTCTGAGAGATAAATTACACTATTCCTCATCAACCTACAGCATTCCACACCAAATAAAGGCAAAAAGCAAGAATAAAGTACAGTTTATCAGCAAGACATGGGCATCGCCATTTTCTTGACTGCATGACGTACTATGGGGAGTCGTTTATCAACTAAATGTATTCAAATTGATGGATGCTCTCTTCCCAGGTGTTTGTTTAGTTGAAGCATTTCATTCACCTGCTATTATCCTTTCTACTCTAATTGCCAGAACGCAAATTGCATAGAAGGTTGTTGCTGTTCTGGGGTAAAGGTTTCGCTTAAATAAAATTGATTTTTCAACATATATATTTTATTTTAATATTTTTAAATAAATGAGTTACAATTTATACCCTTTAATACATTTTTCACCAAATGTAATGTTGACCTTCTCGGCTATGATTCCCTCATTAAAACGTAAAGTTTTTGTTATTTATTTAACAAATGTTTCCAATTGAAGCTTGGTTAATGACACAAGTACAACTCCAACTGGTATGTCACATCTACAAGCAAATAGCTGGGCCCATGTCATGCTAAAAGGCATAACATTATGCCAACAAATCTTCATTTGTATATCTCTTGTACAGGTTCGTAAGATTTGTTGTACATCAAAAGGCAGCAATTTATATTGTTTTACAGAATATCTAGATTAATTATTTAGGCTTAGTTCCCCTTTAAATTATTCCGAGTATCAACGTAGATATGATTGTAGCTATGTAATATGTTCTATATATTTTAATTGGAATGTGAGATAGTACGTCACAAAAATTGATACGCTTTGCATTTTGGGTTAAACCATGTTAATGCACAATGGCCCGAATTCACAAAGGAGGGTTGTCGAAAAACCTCGGTTTGTCGACAAACCTCTTTTTGTTTCGACAAACCTCCTTTTGTTTTTTACAAACCAGGTTTGTTAAAAACGTGTCAAAACGCGTCATATGACGTACATAAACCTCGGTTTGTCGACAAACCTCCTTTGTGAATTCGGGCCAATGTTTTTTAAGTTGTAGACGAATGTTGAATTATTTAGTTTGCTACATGTCACTTTTCTCTCGTTTGTTTTATCTTTAGGACCCGCCGGTAGAACAAATGTGCTGTTATAGCATGGCTAAGCAGGGCTGTCCTTCCATAATTATTGTGCCATCTTATCATGTATGTTACAATTCAGATGTTTCTTTACTAGTATATCAATTAAAATTAAAATAAAATCATATCATATCAATTCAAGTACTTTTTCAAAATGGCTGTTGCGATAGAAGAGAGGTTGATTACCAGTCGATATCGAATCGATGACAGAGAGAGCTGACCACGGGAAAGTGCCACTAGACCAACTTACATCTCCCATGGTCAAGGTCCCATCCTAAATTGATTGTTTTGATTGTGTATATTAACAGTCTTTCGCATTGTATTGAACATGTAAATAGGAACATATTTTGCATCTTTGAAAGTTGTATCAATTCATTTCACTAGATGTAATTTGTTGAACCTATTACAATGATTGGAACATATAGGTTCGTGTAAGTGTTAAATGTATTCTAACAACGCCAAAATATTTATATTTGTACATGACCTTACAACTTCTGACAAAAATAATAAACAAAACCTCATTATGCATTCAAATATTTTGAATGATATTTGTCATTATTTCATGGAGGAAAACTGAAGAAAAAATTACTAGAATGTGCAAGGTGAAAATGAGATGAGAGGGTCGACAGTCTCTTGATTCATTAAAGAAAGCAATCTAATTAAGATACTTAACTGCAAAACTGGTGTTAAACTTTGTATAGCAAGTTCGTATAATAATAATAATAATAATACATTTATAGAGCCGAGAAACTA